TCGTTTTTTTTTTTTTTTTTTATATTACTCTGCTTGGGGAGCTGGAGGTTGGGGAATATCGATGAGCGGAAGATTGGACGAGGGTGGAGAGATCCGTTTTGAGCGGTTTTCTTTATGGCGTTTTTAGTTGGACTTGCACTTCTGATAGCATTTGATATATCGTTATGGGAATAATAATGCTTTTATCAGTAATGCGAAGCTTGAAGCTACGAAGAAAGAAGGGAAGCAGAAGGGGAGAGTTTGGTCAGAAACTGCTAATGGACTCGTCAGTAAGTCAATCTTTCTTTTTGCGTGGAGCAAGTCTTTACGAACATTGCGCGCCACTCTGTAAGCCACTCTAGGGGGAGGATTCGGCGTAGCGTTGAATTTATACTAGCTAAAACTTTCATGCTGGTTTACCTCGATCCAATAGGAGGAGCTCCGCAGACTCCAAGGCTATTGGACTCCATTACGACCCTCCCCATTAATAAGCTTAGACACTGGGATAATAGAAAGGAAAACCCGAATATTGTACGTCCATAGGAAAAATGTACGGTGGGACAAGTGCTCGTAGGAGTCATCCTCCTTTAGATTCCTCCGGCTCGTTGCATCGCCACGATAATACCGTTTCTAATAATTTAATAATCGGTGTGGATGTTGGAACTAACCGGCAATTTGTTGGAACAGAGCTTCCACCGCAGCCGCCCCGTGTCTCGCGGTCAAATACTCTCTAACCTTCATCAACGCCCATTTGCACCCTCTTTTCAATTCCCCCTTCTTATCGTCATCATCGTGTATCTTCAGCTGTATCGCCATATTAGTGAGATGCACCCTGCTGTCGTCTATGTTCTCCAGATCGAACAGCTCACCCGACAGCCGTGCGAAACCCTCTCTAGCCAGCCAAACTTTCAGAGGGCAAAATGAGGTTACCAGGGTGTAGATACGTAGATCGAATTTTCTGCCTGAAATCATCGAGACGTTTACAAATACACGGAGGGATGGTCGTCTAACTCTCTGGCTGGTATCCACAGCCGTCTTAAGACCATCGAAGAAAGTGCTTTTCAACGGTTCGACATTCAAGCCTCCTCCTTTCGGCGATGCTAGTGAACAAAGGTTCACGAAAAGGTTTCAGCCGCTGGCTGTTCGCGCCATCCCCTTTTCGAATGTACCGAGGTGTTCTCCCCGACAAGAGCCATTCTTCGCTGGCGATAAGCGGCTGAATGCCGAGGAGTATCGTTCTGGAGAACCAACCTGCCAGGAGGTAAGGATTCTCCACGTATTTCTGCACGATGAAAGTCTCCACCGGTGGTATTTCCACTTGCTGGCCGAATTCTTTGCTGCGCCACTCCGATAGATCTTTCAGCTTCCTGAACAGGAAGATACCTGTTAATTTAAACGTTACGGCTCTATAGATTTGTTTCACTCGCTGTATCGTATATTTGCCTGCTGCACTGATTATGAATAGACTGCGGATGTTTATGCAAACTTATATTATTATAAATATAATTAAAGGAATTGAGATTTTGTTTCATCTACTAAACGTTGCAATAGGAACTCTATTTTGGATATTGTACATATTCTTACGTACCAGGCGCATTTTGTACATCTTTGGAAGCTTAGATCTCCCAAAAATGCACGGATATCCATCGTTTAATTGTGAATTTATCCGTAACTATTTCGTTCGGAATGTCCAATAATGTGAGAGTGGAATTTGCTGCATATTTGGTTAGGAACAATTTGTTATTGGATAGGTCGAAGTCGTGATCGTGAATTTATCTGTAATTCTTTTATTCTTGATGTCGATTCGCTCCGTTGCAATTTGCTGGATTATTGGGACTTTTAGTTAGAAACGTTGCATAGGATGGATTTTGTAGAGTTTATGTTGGCAATGTTCCTTTTTAATCTCTTGAAGCTTAAGTTTGAATCGACTCCTTTTAATAAACCATAGGAATATTTGTAATAGCCTACAATTTTGAGCAAGTTGGCGTCACGCGAATACTATAAAATAATTGCTGAATTGCTGATTTTTATACGTTTATACATTTAAACGTTCCAAAAATGCATAGAACGCACATAATAAGCAGATATCTCTGATACTAAACGTACAAGAAGTATCTCTTTAATTTCTTCAGTCGTTCAGTTGCGTAAATATAAAATAAAAATCCGCAGTCTATTCATAGCGACATACCTTTGCCCTGCGATCTTCCTGCAGGTTTCACGATCCACGTGGAACCAGGTTGCTTGTGATACTCCTCCGCGAATAGCCTATAATCGTTTGGTAGTTCGAACGTCAGCGGCATACCATCACAAAGTTCAGCTTCGTCTATCTTATTCGACTTGAGTAACAACTTCTTGTATCGTTTCAAGTTTCTGTATAAGTAATTCTTCCGTGTCAATTCGTAATGATTCCGGAAGTGTGGGATCTTTTGATAAGAAGCGAGCTTCAGGTCCAAAGCCTGGCGAACGTCGTTGATCTCGCACCACCAAAGGTGCCAATTCTGATCGTTGGGCTCTATTACCTTGAAAAGAGTTAAAGGATTCGCGTGGGAGGCTCACTCGTCGACGTATTAGTGTCAGGAAGTACAATTTATTCGTGGATATGATTACGCGAATTGTGTCGAATAATAAACTGCTTCCTGCTTCTGGGAGCTGTAACGCGAATACCTTTTTCGTATTTTGTCCTCTTGCGTAACTTCGATTTCGTTAATCGCAAACGTTTCGCTTTGTTCTGTAATTAGTCGAACATATTCACGTGTGATTTATCCGCATCGCGTGAATTATTAATTTGATCGGTCGATTATTTTGAGCTCGTTACATCGCTAATTTGGTTTGTAAATTCGTACTCGGTTAAATTGGTCATTTGGTTGATAAAGTTTGGATTTATCGATGACAGAATACAGCGATTCCGAAAGCTTTTACACTTGCCGTTTATTTCAACATTATCGCGATTGAACTGTCTTCATTCGTAACTTTGTTCAAGAGAAAAAGAAAACGTAATTACGTAAAATCTCTCTTCATTTGTATATTTAAGAATTAATAATACCACGACGAACAAACAAAGTTAAAAAGGTGTACATAACGTAGAAGATTAAAAACTCTCTCGGTAAGTTTTTGAGAAAATTTCGATATAGTCGCGTTGCTTTTTAGTTGGAAAATTTCTAAAAGAAACCCCCGCAAACTTTGCAGAATTATAAATAATTTAATCGAAAAATTGATATTTATATATTTTCGTTCTAGTTCGTCATCTTAAGCTTTGCCGTGCTAAAAAGAAACTTTTAATTACTTTTCACCAACATTTCAACTATTAAAAGCAAACTTAGCAAACCTTTTAAAAGAAACAAGTTTCGAGTTTACTCGCTAAGGACTTCCAACAATTCCAACCCCATAATACGGTTAAACCACAGCTAAATCCGTTTTCCCATACCGCAAGTTTCGCGTTCGCAATCTGCGAAGGGTGACACGCGATCATTCTGTCGAACAATGAGGATTTTCGCATAATCGTCGCTCTTCAATGTTTTGTCGTTTCTTTCCCTTTTTTCTAAAGTTGTTTCATTTAAGCGGCGAAAAGCCCTTAAGGGGATATACGCGGTCGTGATTCGCTCCCACCCTCGGCTCGTTAAGGTCGTCACGCCAACACAGGACATTCCATTACCTGCGTCCATCCTCTGGCCAGCATCACCCTAACCTGCGTCGAAGGGAAGTCGCAGCGGAACCTGATGACCTTGTCGTCCTCGTTCTGCCTCCTTCTCGCGGTCGAATTCCTTTTTTCTCGTGGTGATGCGTTCTCTTCGCTCTCGTGGCTTGGTCTTGCGTTCTTGGACATTTCGTGGTCGTGGAACGATTGGGCAAGGAATTTTGTTTGCCAGATAGAAATATACAATTATACAAATATATGCTTATATTATTATTTATATCGCATAGCAGATTGCGCGCGCGGTTAGTTGGATTTGAGATTTTATAATTCCGACGGAAATCGTTTTAGTTATATTGGTTAGGGTGAATGGACCCAACCCGTTGCGTAATTTCATTGGAACAAGTTCAGGCCATTGAGTAATACGAAGACGAATGAGATGCAAATACTTTGGGGCAGTGGTTTGTTGGGTAGCTTGTAGAATCTATGGCTTTGAATTTAGTGGAATTAACGTCGTTTATAATCTTTGAATTACTTTGTCCAAATCTGTGAAGTGGTCGAAAGATTTTGGAAAAATTGTGATATAGAATTGGAACGAGAAATTATATTTATTAATTGCATACTGTTCTCAACTTTGGTAAACTGTTTAATAGTAGTAGAACGTTATAAAGAAACACGTGTATATGAAATACGTGTTCCGGAAAATTAAAGATACGCGTTCTGAATATATAATTATACATATGCATGCATATACATGTAGAAATAAATATTAAGAAACTCTAATTCAGGTATATTCAAATGTAGGTGAATTAATATATTCATATTTTAATTTCTATAAATTTTACATACTCGTCTGTCCTCTGCGAAATTAATATTTGCGATAAATATCTCGTAACTCCTGTATATCCTTTCAGATTTATTTTAAATCATACAA